CACACAGGCACACACACACAGGCACACATACACACAGGCACACGCAAACACATACACACAGGCACACACACACAGGCACACACACACACAGGCACACACACACAGGCACACACAAACACATACACACAGGCACACACACACAAACACATACACACACACACACACAAACACACACAGGCACATACACACACACTTTTGAGCCTGCTAAATGAAATTTATGAAATGAATTTTATAAAATGAAATTTATAAAATGAAAATTCTGGAGCCTTCCAGTTTGTGGTTATTTCAGGGGGTCAAGCCAGTCATGCCTGCCATGGTTCTGTGGAGCTGGCCTAGCCAGATTATACATCTGCCCCCGGGGAGTATTCAGTCCTGTCTAGTGGGGACAAAATGTTAATCCCGGCAGCTGCCCTTTCTGCCCTCCTGCTGCCTTCTTGTAGAGGCTTTCCATCCCTTCACACGTTCTTTCTTATCGTGAATTCAATGGCCAAGGACTTCTGCGGATTACTGAATCATCCTGGTGCAGTAGGCCTCAGAATTGTGAGCCTTTTTCGAAGAAGTTCAAGAACCAGGAGGCATTACTGCCTTCCTGTTAGTGGCATGCCAAAGGGGCTAACTCTTAGAAGGAAGGAGCCGAGTTGAGGCTTCTCTGCTCTGAGTGACCTTTAAGAACCAGCCTTTGGGTTTGAGAATCCAAAACTTGTGTCTTTCATTGTTGACATTTCCTGCTTGGTCTCACAAGTTTGTATCCATGGCGGATCAGCCCTGGTGGAAATGGCACCTGCCTGCTAGCCTGAGCCAGCACTACCAGCAAGGGTTGGAAGGAATTTAGGAACCTGACCCTCTGACCCTGCAGGTCAAACTGTAGTCAAGGGCACCTGGCCTTTTCTCCCTGTGAGGCTTTAACTTTTTCCTGGAGCTTCCTGAAGAAAAATGGCCTGACTTAGTATATACTGCAAGATTTGTGCCAAAGCCTGGGCTTTTTCTCCAAAAGATTCTGGGAGCAAATAGCCCTTGTGTGAGTCTGGACCAGCTTTTTCACTAGTAACAGGGGTGTGTTTGTTCAGTGCCCGGCCTTGGACCTGCTTGTCTTCATCCAGTAGCCCTCTAGAGCCACCTGTGGGTTATTCTGAGTAGACCCTATTCTGGGTCGTGATCTGTTGCAAGTGTTAGTCACACAAGGTTCAGGGCCGTGTTATAAAGATTTTAGATTGCATATGGAGCTTCCACTTTCTTGTCTTTCAGATAAATGTAGTTTTATGGATGAAAAACACTTATATGACCCCAAGTAAATTTCTGAAGTTTCCCCAACTCTTGCCAACCCTGTAAGGGTTGTTGTTTTTCCGAGCTTTTCTGCGCTCAGTAATCAGCCACTTTCAGTAGGAAGCGAGGTGCCCTGTCCCAGGTGCAGCTCTCCGTCTTGGCATACTTCTAAGGCCTGCACTTGACTCGGCCCCATCCTCTGAAGACCCCTGAAGGGCAGCTTTCACAATTGGAAAAACCTGCTGGGATGCTTTTCTGTCCCTTGGCACTAGAGAGGAAAGAGGGCCATGAATCCCAGGCCAACCTGCCTACATAGCGAGACCTTTCCTCAAGAAACAAAAGAGGAAAGTCAAGGGTGTGGTGGCATACACCTGAGCTCTGTATTCCTGAGACGGAGGCAGGAGCATTGGGGTTGGCAGGCCAGCATACGCTACGGCAATAAAACCCTGATTTTAAAATTGAAAACGTCTATAATCAAGCTGGATACCTAGTTGGGCTAAATGTGCCCCCTGCCCAGTGTCCCACCCTCAACCTAGGTTGTCTCATGGGAGGACTGTTAGCACATTCCCAGTTCAGAGTTGTCCAGGGTTGGGTAGTGGTGGTAGCAGCTCACACCTTTATTCCCAGCACTCAGGAGGCAGAGGCAGGTGAATCTCTTGTGATTTCAAGGCCAGTCTGGTCTACAGAGTGAATTCCAGGACAGCCAGAGCTACACAGAGAAACCCTGTCTCAAAAAAAACAAAAAGAAAACAAAAAACAGAACAACAACAAAAAAGCAGCAACGAGCCAAAAACCCCAAAACAAAACAGCAGAGGTGTTTCTTAGTGGATACCACTGTGCTCTGAGATTTTGCTCAATGTCTTTATATACAGTAGAACATAGAGAATGTAAAGAAAAAGCCAGGCAGTGGTGGCACATGCTTTAATCCAGCACTCAGGAAGCAGGAGTAGGCAGATCTCGGAGTTTGAAGCCTAGTCTACAGAGCTGTTGCCAGGACATCCAGGGCCACACAGAGAAGCATTGTCTGAGAAATGAAACAAAAAGGAATGTGGAGGAAAAGTTAAACCTGGGGGCAAAGATTTGTGATCCCGGAGCTCAGGAGACTACTGTCAGAGGATTTCAGCATTGCAGTGTAGAAGGGTTGAGCTATAGAGTGAGACCTTATCTTGAAAGAAAAAGTAAGAAGAGGGCTGAAGATAGAGCTCAGGGCAGGGTAGGGTGCTTATGTGGCAGGTGTGGGGCCCTAGTGTGCAGTCGCTGGTGGACGGAGGAAAGAGTGTGGGGTAGCCAGTTCGAGCATCTTCTTTGTGAGGGAACCTAAGGGTACCTGCAGCCTGCAAACAGTGTCCCCTTCTGCAGGGAAGTCCCACCTGGCCATTGTGCAGAGGGTGAACAATGAAGGTGAGGGTGACCCCTTCTACGAGGTGCTGGGCCTGGTCACCCTGGAGGACGTCATTGAGGAGATCATCAGGTCGGAGATCCTGGATGAATCTGAAGACTACCGTGAGTTTTGACTTCTATTCTTTCTCCAACCCAGAGCCCTTCCAGAGCCTGAGGGCTGTCTGTCACAGGCCAGCAGTCTTACTGATGATGGAAACTGGCTCGAGTGCCATGCCTGCTCTGGTGTGGGCCAGTGTTGTCCTCCGTAAAGCCGTGCAGACCGCCCTGTTGCTGGCTTCTGTGACCCAAGTGTGAGCAGAAGGCTCTGTAAGCAGCCCCCATCACTGAAGGACTTCTCTGCCCTTGACAGACCAGCACCTGCCTTCTGCTTTTGCAGCCACATTCTCTTGAGCATGGCGCCTTCACAGATTCTCTGAACCGGATCCGAAGCTCAGTAGTGGGGTATTTGCCCAGCTTGAATGAGGCTGAGTTTGGTCACCTGTGCCACATAGAGTTTTGTTTTGTTTTGTTTTAAATCCACACGCCTTTAATCTCAGAAGACAGACAGCAGGTGGATCTGAGTCCCCAGTCAAGGCTACATAGTAGACCTTGTTTCAAAGCAAACAAACAAAACCCCAAAAGAGTCTTTACCACCAGGGAGGTCGAGGGACCTTTGATGGCTGGGGCTTCACAAGGCTGCTTGGGGCTCTGCACTGCCCTGTCTGTGTCTTCCATTCTGCTCCTGGGCCGATCGATGCAGGGTCACCAGGGTGGCTGCTGCCATTTGCTATGGGTGAAGGGCCTCCATATTCTCCCTCTAGACAGGAGAGCTAGGCTTCCTCTGGGCGTGGCCAGAATGTGAGCTGTGGCCTCCTCTGTCCCGGGCACCAGGGTTATTGTATGGTGGGCATGGCAGCTCAGTGTTCTGCAGGAAGCAGGGTCAAGAGTGTTTCCTTGGGGCTCTGCTCATCCCTCCCCTGAAATCCCAAGACCTTGGGAAGGAGGAGTAGGCGCAGCAGCACCATTTGCTTTGTGCATGTTCATTTCTGGGTGCTGATACCTACCCGTGCCGTCTGTTCACTACCCCAGCAGACACCAAGGTGAGAAAGAAGACTGTTGCCCTGAGCACCCCTCTCAAGCGGAAGGAGGAATTCTCCTTATTCAAGGTGTCTGATGATGAATATAAAGTAAAAATCTCGCCTCAGCTGCTCCTGGCCACCCAGCGCTTCCTTTCCCGAGGTGAGGGTGAAGGGTGGTCCTTGCCCCTGGTCTCACCGCCCAGAGGGTCAAGAAACCACCCAGGCCAGACACCAGCTTGGCTCCTAGCGAGCTGGAGGCTCTCGAAGAGCATCTGCTTCCTCTGCAGAGCTCGCTAGTGTCTCCTGGTAAGGCGTGCTCTGGGAAGCTCATCTGGCCCGTGTGTAGCCCTGCTTGGCTCTCTTGTGTGGACTGCCGCAGCCCAGGGACCACGGGGAGAGCCCAGGAGGCAGGTGTGATGACGGGCCATGTGGGCCCCAGTGGACACTGTCCCTTTCTCCCACCGTGGGGCAGAGGTGGATGTGTTCAGCCCGTTGCGAATCTCCGAGAAAGTCTTGCTGCACCTGCTGAAACATCCCAGTGTCAACCAGGAGGTGAAGTTTGATGAGAACAACCGCCTGGCCGCACACCATTACTTGTACCAGCGCAGCCAGCCAGTAGACTACTTCATTCTCATCCTGCAGGTAACTGTGGTCGCACAGGCCTGAAGCCGCCCATGCTCTCAGGCCTGGGGAGAGACCCGGACATAGACCCTTAAACAGCCAGGGCTGGTGGTTTCTCCTGTATTCTCTTACGGCAGGAGAGATGACCTGTCCACCTCTGTCTTCTTCCCAGGGCAGGGTCGAGGTGGAAATTGGGAAGGAGGGCCTGAAGTTTGAGAACGGGGCCTTCACATACTACGGAGTGTCTGCCCTGACAGCTCCATCTTCAGGTAAGTGGCGGCCCCTTTGGAGCTGAGGGTTGTGGTTGTGGCCAGCAGGGCTGCCCCTGACTCTCAGCAGGTCTCCGTCCTACTGCGAGCTTCCTGTCTCCAGGCCGTGTAGAGGGCAGAGCAGCATTTCTGCCTTGTTTAGCTTGGTGGCCCACTCCATCCCTGCAAACGTCCCAAGCTGGCTTTTTCACCTTCCGTGTTCCCGCCCATCCCCTCTCAAAGGTGACTTGAGGGGTAGGCACTAGAGCCTGGACTGTTGTCCCATTGGCTCCCCCCATCTCTAACTATTTCTCCCATAGCTCACCAGTCCCCAGTGTCTTCACGCCAGCTCATCCGCCATGACCTGCATCCTGAACCAGCTGATAGTACCCGCTCCTCCACGTACTGTCCTGACTACACCGTGCGGGCCCTTTCTGACCTGCAGCTCATTAAGGTGATTGTCTGGGCGGCACGTTGGTGCAGCTTTAACTGGCTTTGTGCTCCCAAGGGGGTTAGTCCAGCTTGTAATGAGAGGATGGAGCACAAGAAGACATGCTCACATCCTGAGTGACGGGACCACCTGCTCTCCCTGGACTGCTAGGGTCTGGGCCGGTCTGGCGGCCTTAACACCTGACCTCTCCATTAGGGATCTTAACACTTGGCCCAGCACCAAAACCACTTTGCTCAAAGGCTCTTTGCCCTCGCTGGTTTGAAGTCCTGCCTTTCTAGTGCAGGCTAGAGGCGGGAGCTCTACCGTCTGTGTCTCACAGATTGCACTGGCTGGGTCATTTCTCTATTCTCTTATCCTCTAGGTCACACGGCTGCAGTACCTTAACGCACTCCTGGCTACCCGAGCCCAAAGCTTGCCTCCATCCCCAGAGAATGCTGGGCTCCAGGCCATACCAGGCAGCCAAACCAGGCTGCTTGGTGACAAGTCCGCCGAGACAGCAGGTAAGTGCCACTGGTCTGTCCCACAGTGTTGGGGCCAGAGGTCATGTGGAACCCCGCTTCTACTCTCTGCTTGCCCTGTCTTTCCTCCCCGTTTCTCTGCCCATCCTGCCCTTCTTGCTGTTTGTACAGAATTGCAGGTAGTTGGGACTCAAAATGGAGCAGAGTGAGCCTTTTCTCACAGTGAGGCCTCTTAGAGGAGGCTTAAAAAATATTCAGTTTGGAAACCCTCAGGCCACCTAAGATCAGGGTTAGGTCACCTGGAGAATCAGGTTTGGCTCATCCTTGGCCCCCCCAGCTGGTAGGAGCAGTGCGGGGCGGGGTCAGCACATGCTGACAGTGTAGTTCCTTAGGGCTGACAGCAGAAGGCGCTGGGGTGGGGCAATTTGCACTGTGGGTAGCCCTGGGCTGCCTCGCAGAGTCTGTGGTTTGGGTGGTGAAACGCCAGGGGTTTTCTGTTTGTTTCTTGAGTTGATTGGTCCTTAGGATTGCCAAGCTGAGCTTAGGAAGTAGCTCTGGGAGGCATGCAGCCTGCTGCCTGTCCCATGCTCTCTTCTGCCACCTAAGGAGCCAAGTTCTCACCGGGCAAGTGATGTTTAGAGCTGACTCTGTCTTCACTGGCAGAGCAACCCATCATCCCGAGAGGTGGGAGTTGCTGGGCTTGTCAATAGATGAGGATTGGGGTTCCCAGAGCCTCCTGGGAACTTAGAGCTGTGGTTACTTAGACCCACACTGGAGATCACAAACATGTTTTTACAGTAGAAATTGCTTTCTGAATCAAGCCGTGTGACATACAGGTACAAATGACAGAGATCCTTGACCTTGAGCCACAGTGGGCTCAGCTCCTGTGGGCTCCAGCTCTGTATTACTGGTGGGCCACCTATGAGTCCTGGCTGTAGGCATAGCTCACCATCCATTCTAAAGCAATGTCAGTTTCAGAAAGGCATTTTTCACCATGTTTACACAGTAGCTTTATCAAGACTTGTTTTTAAAACATGAATGTTTTCTTGCTCCATCCACTACTCAGACTGCATAGGCTATATTCAAGGTAGAGGCCTGAGCTGGGAATAGCAGTTCTCCTTGGAGCTTATCTTCTGCCCAAGGATTTTTTTTTTCTCTTCTTCCCACCTTCCCCTTCTGTCCTTCCCTCCCATTTGTTCCCTCCTCCTCCTCCTCTTCTTTTCCTGCCTTTCTTTCCAAGTGCTGGGGGGTTGGACTTAAACCCTTGCACACACTAGGCAAGCATTCTACCATCAGAACTAGTCTCTAGAGGTTTTTGTTTTGTTTTGTTGCTTTGCCTACTCTTTGGGTTATCCTATAAAAGAGTAACTTATAGTGGCTTCCTCTTTGTAATGCTTTATCCACCCTGTTTGCCAACATAATGTTGGCAATTTTCGCCTGTGTGTGACCTCATGCTTGCCCTGTTGAGGTTTGCCCAGCTCTGGGGTCTTCCTGTGTTTGTCCCTGTCCCTGAAGAGCGTCGTGTTACTGCACAGTGCTGGTTTCGGGGGAGCACAGTTAAAGCAGTGCAGAGATGCAGACTTGGGCACTAAATCCATGGCAGAAAAGTGCCTTTGTGGAAGTGTTTGGAAGGTACGAGAGTTTTAAATTGCCTACACCAGGGCTAGACAAACAGTGGTGGGGGAGCCTGATTTTTGCCAGCTGTCTGAGTTTATAAATAAGCTTTTATTAGAGCCCACCCATTTGTTTGGGTTGTGTCTGGCTGCCTCTGAGTGGGAAAGGTGCTGATTAGTAATTGTGACAACAGGTGACTTGCAGAACCTAAACTCCTGATCCCTGGCCTCCTGCTCAAATGCTAAGTCCTCCACTTAGTGTGTTTCTGGGACTCCCCACCCTGAAGCCCTGTGTCTGGGGACTTCCCTGTGTGGTCCCAGCAACACCTGTGTGGCACAGAGCCCTGCCCAGCCTTCTTCGAGGTATGGAGCTTCGGCTTGTCACTGCCACCCAATAGCGTGTTTCCTCTTCTTTCTTCTCTCTGCTCTCTCTCTTCAGCCTTCCCAGTAGACCTTTCCCTCTTTGGCACATTTGGAAACTGCAGTTGATAAATGACTGTGGACTAGTGAGCATTTTTTGTTTTAAGAGAACACCAAGGTAAATATCTCCCTTTTCTTTCTCCTTGGCTTTACTTTCCCCATCCTTTAGCTGTTGGCAGGCACGGCAGACAGTTTCCCTTGGCGGGGGCAGTTGGGAGAGGTACTCTTTTTTATTTTTCTAGTATTGACTTTTTCTAGAAGACAAGGGGTCATGAGACTCCCGATTCGTCCTGAAACATAAGGCTTCCTTTTATCACAGGGCTCTTGATCATCCAGAAAAGGGTGTTTTTGCCCAGCACTGCTGCCTAAGCCCACTGAAGTTAAAAATATGTAGCACTCCCTAGGTGCCATGGCACCTATAATCTCTGCACTCCACACTGCCTTGAGTTTGAGGTCATCTGCGCTGGCCAGCCAGCAAGACTTTTTCTCAACAAAATAAGGGCTGGCAACATGGTTCTGTGGGTAAAGATACATGCCACCAAGCCTAACGACCCAAGTTCAATTCCTGGGCCTTAGAAGGTAAGAACTGTTTGTCACAGAGTGTCGTCTGACCTCCATACACATATGATACATGCATGCCCTCACATGTACATACATACACACCAAAATCAATGTAAGAAAAGCTGACTGACTTTAAAAAAATGAAAATAAAGTTAAGTTGGAAAGCCAGTTGTAGTGGTACACCTCTAATTCCAGTTCTTAGGAAGTGGAGACAGGAAGATCTGGGGTTCAAGGTCAGCCTGGGCTGCTTAAAACCTTGTCTCAACCCCTGCTGCCCCAAAGAAGGGAAACAAAACAAATCCCACAAACCAGTGACAGAAAAGCCCATAGCCTTCCTTTGTCCCTTGTGGGTGGTGTCTGTCCTTGGAGTGGGTTTTTCTCTTGAAGCCTATTCACCATGTTCCTAGCTGTTGGGTCCTTAGGGGTCCTGAGGCCCATCTGTCTAAGCTGCTGTTCCTTATCCTGAAGGTTCCGTTCTTGGTTTTGCAAAGCCTGCTCCTTTGACTGGTATGAATGCCATTTCTTTTTCCCTTCTCCTTAGGGTCCAGCAGCAACAGACCTGGCATCCCAGTGGAGGAGAGCCCTGGGCGGAACCCAGGAGTGTAACTGCTTGCCACGCAGCCCCAAGCTGAAAATGGACAAGCGTGTGGGGATCTGGGGAGAGCCAAACAGGAACTTTATGCCAGTCTGTCCCCACCTATCCTGGCCACGTTTTAGATGGCCCTTATACGCAGTAGGTCCCGGTCCTCCTCAGTGCCAGAGCCTCCGGCCGGCTCTGCCTTCCCTTAGGAGATGGGGTTGGCAGGGCAACCCTCCAGAAGCCTGTTTCTGGGGGAACGAAAGAAACAGCATCATCTCTAGCCCGAAGGGCCCAGCTCCTCCCTGGAGGCTATAACAGCACAGTGTTCATACCTCCCTGAGCCAGGTGCCATGTGGGGGCACAATCACGACCTTTACATGGCCTTGGCCTGTGCTCACTCTGCTTTTGATTGGCCAACCCTCTGTTGCTGGCATCACTTCCTAAGCAAACCAAGAGAGCTGATTTTTGATGGAGATGTTCAAATCTATGGCGCCCTGTCATGTACTTTCTGGCTTCCCTTACAGTTTTGATTCATGTACCCTGTTTTTTCCTTGTGCCAATAGATCTGTGTTCTGGTTCTGCTCCCTCCTGTGGAGGAAGCTCTTCTGACTCCTGAGGTCAAGGGCAGGCTGGCCTGGTGACACAGGAAGCCTGTTAAGCATGGCCCAGGGGTCAGCTTCCATTTCCCGTGAGTACAGTGCCACCAATGGCAGTGTCAATTTCTGTTTGAGGTCAGGTGTGGAAGGCTTAAAGGTCAATGTTGACTGACCCAGGTGAGGATGACGCCTGTTGTACCTGCCTTGTACTTTTGTCGTAAGCCTGAAGGGCATGTGCAGCTGTGAGAGCAGCAGTCAGTGAGCATTGGTTATGAGCCTGGAACCTCCTTGTCACCTGAGAAGTGAAGGTTTTCTTGCATCTCTGAAATATTTCAGAGTCCATGTGCTTTTCTGTTCTAGTGATACAGGGATGGGAAGGCATTGCCTTTTTCTTCCAGTTTACCTACATTTTCCTTCCCCAATTTCAGCTCTGGGACCATACATTGTGGTGGGGAGGGTTGCTGAAATTTCCCTCAAAAGAATGTGGGTCCTGGTGAGTCCTGCAGGCCAAGAGAACAGTGGTATGCTTGCCGAGAAAATTCTAAAGGAATATGCTCTAAGAACAAACCAAGTTTGGAAGCAAATACTTCAAAAATCATCGGTCTCCAGAACAAGATTCCGAATTTTGGCTGCACCTCAGAATCACCTGGCAAATTAGAACATTGGATACCTGGCCTCACCTTGAACATCAGGGTTTTGTGGTCTTGAAATAGTTTCAAATTCATGGAAGAGCCCCATGTGCCCTTCCTCAGCTTCCCCTGATGTTAACATAATAACTTTGTCACGTTTATCAAAACTAAAACGGTAGCTGAGTACAGCACTCTTACCTGGGGTTTTAAATGTTACTCTCTCTCCCTACCCCCTGGTAATATCCTTTTCTGTTGCAGGGTACCAAGGTAGGGTGCCAGAGTGTACTTGGAGCTGTTGCTTCCTTTTTTACCTAACTATTGTTCACAGTGATTGCCGAGTCATAGGAAACTGCAAAGATCCAGAGTCCATGCATCCTTGATCTGGTTTTCCTCAGCAGTTCTGTCTCATCAACTACAATGTGCAGAGCTGCGGAGCTCTGCGTGCCTGGCACCTGTATAGACCTGAGTAGCTTTACCAAAGGCTAACCCACGTCCCATCATTGCTGGGTTCCCCCTGGATTACTAGTCAGAGTCACCTGTGCTGTCCTAAGCCCTAGCACCCACTGCGCTGTTCCTGATCTCTGTTATTCTGTCATTTTGAGAATGTTGTTTGAGGGGCCGTGCAGTACGTGGCCTTCTGGGACTGATTCCTCACTCTGCATAGTTCTCTGGAGACGGATCCAGGTGGTTGTGTCAGTGGTTTGCTCCTCTTCCTCGCTAAGTGGTATTGTATCCCATGGTGTACTCATTGTCCTGTCATAGGACATATGAGTTGTTTCCACTTTTTGGCCTTTTCCAAATAAAGCTGCTATGAACATTCATATACAGATTCCTCGTAAAGATTGGTGTTTGCCCTGGGGGAGTGCCAGGATGTTTACCTCTTAAGAAGAACGTGCCAACCTTTTGGAATGATTGTTTCCCAAACCCTCCAGTGGCCACGCGGATGAGCAGCACTTCACTGTGCCTCTCAGGTGCGTTTCCGTGATCCGTGAGCAATACGGTCCTGCTCATGTTTTCACTTTGATGACATGCCTGTGTTCTTTTCGAGTCATTTATTCACCCCCCCCCCTTTTTTCCTGTTTGAAAACTCCTCAAATATTCAGAATCTAAAATTCCTCATTGGAGTTTTGGTTTGCCAAGATTTTATTTTAATCTGTGTAATGCTGTAGTCTAAGTCTGAATTGTGCCCCTAAGGCCTGTGTACTAAAGACAGGCTGCTCTTTGAGGTAGGTCCTCCTGGGGTCACTGGGGCATGCCCTCAGAGGGGCTGCTGGAGCCTTGGCCGCCTCTTCTTTGCTCCAGAGGACCATGAGTTGAAGAGGCCAAGCCATGTACTCATTCCTTATAGCGTACAGGCCCAAAGGACCAGGCAACCACAGGCTCCCTTGAGCTCCCATCTCACGTCTCCTCAGTATTAGCAGTGTAGCTGCGCTCTCACAGCAGGGTCTTCACAGAACAAAGCAGCTCTTTGGTCGGTTCATTGGTTTCGGTTTTTCAAGACAGTTTCTCTGCGTAGTCCTGGCTCTCCTGAAGGTTTCTAATGGTGATTATATAGATGGCCTTTCCCCCCCTAATAGTTTTTCACATTGGTGTTCTGCTTCCATGTATGTCTGTGGGAGGGTGTCAGATCCCCTGGAGCTAGAGTTACGGACATTTGTGAGCTGCCATGTAGTTGCTGGGATTTGAACCTGGGTGCTTTGGAAGAGCAGCCAGTGTTCTTCACCACTGTGCTAGCTTTCCAGCCCCTTGCTAATAGCTTGAAATAGCTTGTTTTACATTTATGCTTGTGATTCCATTTTGTGTTAATATTTCTATAAATAAGGTTTGGTCAACAGCTGTTTTAAGATTATGTGCATGTTTTGCCTGCAAGCGTGTCTGCAGCGTGTGCACACTTAGCACCTACAGAGGCCAGATGACATCAGCTCATCCCTGGAACTGGAGCCAACTTGGGATTCACCATGTGGGTGCAGAGACTCAGACTCAGGTCCTTTACAAGCGTGGTCCGTGCTGGTGCCCTTCACTGCGGAGCCCTCTCTCTCCAGCCCCACAGCTGGTTTTCTTGTTATTGGTGTTTGGGTTTGTTTGATTTTTTTTTTAAACCTGGCCTCAAGCCGCAAACTCATAATCCTGCTTTCTCTGGGGACACCCCCCTTCCTATTTAGCCTAAGGGTGTCCATTTGTTGAAAAGGTATTGTTCCCTCTGTTGTAAAGTCATTTGGGCATATTTGTGTAGTATTGTTTTTGAGTTATATATCACATTAGTTTCATCCACTACACTCTTGATTGCTGAAGTTGAACCCACTTTTTAAAATCTCTCACACCCCCCTCTATTTTCTCTTAAAATAGGGTCCCAGGCTGGCTGTGGTGGCGCACACCTTTGATCCTAATTCTGAGGCAGGCAGATATTTTGGGTTCAAGCCCAGCCTGGTTTATAGAGCGAGTTCCAGGACAAATCCTGTCTGAAAACAAAAGGGATGTGCGACAGTCTGTGGGCTCACGGTGCCTTTGGCTTATCTTTAATTAAACTCTGTGATCCTCCTGCTTCAGCTTTCTGCCTTACTGGTATATGCCAGCCCAGTTGATCAACTTTTTTTTAATATATATAAAAGCCTCACACTGCATTCAACCTAGACCAGAACACAAAGCAATCTGAGCCCTCCCACCCCCAAGTGCTGGGATTAGATGGCAGGAGCTGCCACACATGGCTTAAAATTGTTTGGGATATACATTTGCTTACAAAGCTTAGAATAAACTTTCTACCTCTTGCTTGGATTTGGGTAGGGACTGTTAACCCTGTATGTTGTCAGCTTGGGAAGAGCAGACATCTTTACCTGCTGTGCCTTCCAATCCACTTGTAGACCTTAGCATGTTACAATCTTAGGTTTAAACAGCTATAATAGGACTGTTTTTTTTTTTTTTAATCCATATATTCACTGGCATTAGGGAGGAAGATTTTTGTTTATATGTATCCTGAAGTCTTCTTGGACTACTACGGTAGGTTGTTTCCCACCCACCACCCACTTAGAATTCCTTATAGTTGCTAGTATGCATTAGATAACCATGTCCTCAACCAAAACTTGGATCCCACCTTCAGGGCTTCTGACCTAATTAACGATAGGACTCCTGAGAAAAGTCTCAATGTAGCCCCGGCTGGTCTGTAACTCAATCACTGTGTTGATGAGGCTGGCCTATCTCCAAGGAGCGGGATTAAAGTTGTGTGTCTCCACACCCAGCAGACACCAGGACTTTTTAAAAGTGGTGATTCTAAAAAGAGCGGAGGTTGATAACTCTCACCTTCTGAACTTGTCCATCAGTAGCCCTGAACACGAGCCACGTGCCAGCACTGGCTGACATGCTGCTGTCGGCTAGCGAGGTTGATGACAACGCCTTGGGTTTGGTTTCTGCCAGGTAACTCGATACGCTGCCTCTTCCCAGTCCCCATACGACAAGGCTATGATGGATAATCAGTTTAATGAGAAAACAGTAATCGGTACAAAAAGGTGGCTTTGTGTGTCAATTAAATGTCCTCATTTCTGAGGAGTCGTCGTCATATTGAGTAGCCTTGAATGTCTGTGTTGCCCGCTTGCCAGCGTCGTGCACACGAGCTGGCACGACAGGACACAGCCTGCCTATGGAAAGGTGTGTGCCCCTAGGAGGGAGCACCAGTCAGGCTCTTCCTAACAAGGGCCGGAGAGGCTGCCAAGATTAGACTGAAGATAACTGCTGCAAAATGGCTGTCAGCTCAGGGCTCTGCATGGGAGAGGAAGCCTCCAGCCTTTAGCCCTTTGCTCAGCCCGAGGCCTCGACTTGCTGGCATCTAAGGAGCCAGCCCTGCCAGTAGTACAGGTCTACACGAGTGAAGCTGGAAACAGCTGAAGGGAAAGGAGCCACGTGGGAGCCCTGTGAAGGCCTCATTACACCAGCACTTGGCACAGGGGACTGGAGAGGTACGGCTACTGCAGTCACCATCCCATGGCAAGGTGCAGAGCTCTTCAGTGCGCAGGGCGTGCACCAGTCCAGGTGCTTCCTTCAGTACCAGGGTAAGCAAGCCAGGGTTGCGGGCCACCGCCCCAAGAGTTGGGTGGGCCACGAGCAGTCCCCAGCGCCTGGCACTCTACCCCCACATAGAGTGGTGAGCGAGGCTGCCTGAAGCCCTGGGGCGGCGCTTCCCCAGAGTTCCAGCTCTCAGTCTCCAGCTTCTGGGGCAACCTGGTAGGTACTGACTTCCGTGGGGCCTCGGTCCTGTTGGCATGCCCCTCAGCCTGCCAGAAACCCCCCCTTCAGAGCTCTGGAGACTAGAGATGGCTAGAACTCCTCCAGACACTATCAGGGTTGCTACTGATAGGAATGAAGTCCCCGGAGAAACGCTGCCCAGAGGACAGCAGTGCACTGTACCAGTGTCTGGCACATAGGTAGCCTACTGTTTCCTGTCTCATGCCCTGGATGCAGCTGCTGGCCACAGCTGACTCTACTTACAGAACAGGCTAAGGCCAGTCTCCTGGTCTAGGGATGGGTAGCCAGAGGCCCTGACCCTGCTTAGGGGAGTGCTGGGCTGCTCACTTCCTGCCCTGGCCTCAGCCCTCATCTGGACCCACTTTGTTTCCTGCTGCCCCGAGGTCCTCTACTCCAGCCCTGGCAGGGAACAGTCTTCCTCACTGAAACCCAGGAGGCCTGCTCTACCTGCTGCCTTAGGCCCAGGGAGGCAGAGCCAGAGAGAAATTGGGGCTGGGGCAGAGAACCACTTAGGGGTGGAGGTGGGCGTGGAATGGTGGCTAGGAGCAATCTACGGGTCTCCATCAGCAGCGGGTGCGGGGGTGCCCCACGTGGGCCTGTAGTGCTTCCCGGATACCTCGCTGCCAGTCTCGTGCCAGCTGCACTGGTGTCAGGGAGGCCTGTGAACAAGGACACCGAGTCAGTCTCCCTCTCCCAGGTACTCCCCAAGTGCTGGGTGCTCCTCAGCACAGGTGTCGGGCCTTGCCTGGCTGGCACTCACCAAATTCTTCATGCCCAGCTTGGCTCCGTAGAGCAGCAGCAGCTTCGTCGCTTTGTGGTGCCCATAGCGCACAGCCTCGTGGAGTGCCGTGTCCCCTTCCTGCAGAGAGAGCAGCCAGTCACCGCTCTGCGCCCACTGCAGGAATATGCCAATGACACACGCTCTCCGGTGTGCCCCAGGCTGCTCAGTAACAAACACCCACCTTATCCTGTGCATTGATGTGGGCGCCACACTCAATGAGGTGCTCCAGGCAGTCAGAGTGGCCCGTGCGCACTGCCACGTGCAGAGGGGTGCTCCAGATCTAGGGATAAGTGAGGTTCGGTGCTGGACCTGGGCTGGCCATGCCACCCGACCCAGAGGGGCTGTGCCTTCTTGCAGGGTGAGCGTCTGACCCTGTATGCTACCACCCGAAGCAGGCGCCCGTCCCTCACCTTGTCCTGAGCATTGACCTGCGCTCCCCGGTTAAGCAGCTGTTTGAGGATGTCCAGGTGTCCTCCCCGGCAGGCCCAGAACACAGGCGTCCTGCCCAGCTGCAACACAAGGTGTCAGGGTGCGCTGACCCACGGGGTTGCAGGGCAGATGAGCTGCTAGGGGCCACCCTTGCTTCTTACCAAGTCCTGTGCTTCCACAGCGGCCCCTGCCGCCAGCAGCTTGTTCACCAGCTGTCCATGGCCCTTCAGACAGGCCCAGTGTAAGGCTGTGCGGTGGAGCTGGGAGCAGGAGCAGAAAATTAGGCCAAGAGAGCAGGGCTACTCCCAAGAGCCACCCACCCACCCCCACCTGCACACCGTCCCTTCCTCCCCCAGGTCACCAGCGTTACCCAGAGTCCCAGGTGAGGCCTACCTTGTCGTGGGCATTGGGGTCCCCTCCATCTGTCAGGAACTTGTCGATCAGGGCCTCCTGGTTCTCAGCTGCTGCCTTCAGGAACGTTTCCAGGTCCACAGGCTCCAGTGGGACCTGGGGCTGCCGCTGCGTGAGCAGAAGAGCTTGGTCAGTCCCCAGGCCCGGAGCCACCTGTCAGCGCTGTGTCATCAGTGCAGCCCAGCGCACTCGGCCTGTTTGATTACAGTTGCGGAAGATTCCGAATGGGAAGTGTGTGATGCCCTGACTGTTCCCGGGCCCTGGGCCATACTCTGAGTCTTAATCCTCAGAATGTGACCTTTTCAAAATGTGGTCATTGCTGCATTTAATTATGTTAGAGTCGGATAGACACCTTTTCTGCATGACTGATGATGTCCTTACGTCAAGGATGTTGGAAACAGGCCAGCACACAGAAAATGAGCAAAGTGTGGAGATGGGGGCTGGAGAGATGACTCAGCGGTTAAGAGCACTGACTGCTCTTCCAGAGGACCTGGGTTCAATTCCCAGCACCCACATGGCAGTTGACAACTGTATCTTCAAGATCGGATAGCCTTGCACAGACATACATGCAGGTAAAACCAGTGTGCCTAAAGTTAAAAAAAAAAAAAAAAGAGATGGGTGATGTGCCTACAGGCCAGGGGCCACTAGCGCTGGCAGCTCCAGGAAGCTGGCCGGCCAGCAGATGCTAAAGCTGCTGACAGTGTGACTAGCTCCTGAGCAAACCCGAAGGACCTGTTGGAGTCCTCGCTGGCCAGCGCTTTGTTCAGCTGGCCAGCGAGGTCAATCCTGTTACCTTGGCAGGCTCTAGAATCATGAAGGACACAAGCCCTTGGACACTGGACACATCAGTGAGAAAGTATCTAGATTGGGCCAGCTGACACGAGCCACCCGAAAGTGTGGGTGAAAGGGGAGAAAGCAAGCTCAAGAGAGTGAGCGCTGGGGCGGGAGGGGTGCCTCGTTAAGAGCATTTGCTCCTGCAGGAAATCCAGGTTCAATTCCTGGCACCTACGAGATGCTTCCCAGCCATCTGTACAGAGCATACGGTGCTCTCTTCTGACCCTGACCACCAGGCATGTACACAATGCACACACACACACAGGCAGACACCGGTGCAATCAATCAGTGGTGTAAATGTTTCTCTCTGCTTCCTGCCTATGGCTGATTGTGGCAGCTCCCTCGAGCTCCTGCTTTCACGCCTTCCCCACAGCAGCGAACTGTACTCTGGAACAGTGAGCCGAGATAAACCCTTAAGTTGCCAGGTATTTCGTTGCAAGAAGCTAAGCAGCTAATACAGTGCTGTGGATGGGACAGAAGGGTCTGGGATGCTTCCCACTCAGCTCCCCATGTGCGCACTGCAGCTGCAGCCCCCCAAGGCAGGAGGCCCTCTGTGCTCCGGACACCAACTTTTAACCTCTCACCTCAATCACGGGCTCAGGTTCCCTGGGGGGGACTTTGTGTCTCAGTCGTTTTTCCCTTCGTCTTTGTACCAAGTTTTCCAAGTCCGTCAGATTGTCCAGAGTCAGTCTGGAGCTGTTAAATCTTTCCATCTAGGGCAGAAGACAGGCCCAAGGCAGCCATCAGCCGCAGGGTAGGGTTCTCCGACAGGCTGCTGGCTCAACTAACCCTGCCTTGAAGATGCACCCACCACCCTCTGGCTGGCTGACAATGGCCATGGGCTCTAGACCCTCATTACTCAGATAGCCCCAGTGCTCCGGCTCCATTCCAAGACCACTCACTTTCTTCTTCTTCTCTTCCTCCAACTTCAGCTTCTCCCGGGCCACGGCCTCGTGGGGTCCCAGCCTCCAGCCACTAGGCCAGCCTCCAGGATCAGGAACTCCATGTCCAAACTCCAACGCTTTCCTGTCAACTCTTTCTCCACTTACCTGAAGGACACACAGAGCAGATTAGGGATCCTTGGGAGTCAGTTGTGTGGCCCAGTTGTGCAAAGGCCAGCTGTGAGCCTGGGAGTCAGTCTGACTGTTCCTCTTCCTGGTGGGCTGCACCCATCCAACACCTGCAGTTTTTGCCAACTGTGGCGATGGCCAAGGCCCAGGGGGATGACTGCCTGTGACTGTCAGCAGATCACAGAGTTGAGGGAGGTGGGGTCTATTTATACTGCTGGGTTCATGCCAGACGACACCTTGGCTTCCACCCTGGGCTTCTACCCCCAGATTCCTGTGAAGTTATGCCACACTGCCACCTGACCCAAGCTTAGAGAAGAGACGCTCCTGGGTCAAATTCCAAATCCCCGCTTTTAGCCCTTGGGTCTTTGAGAAACTATGTATCTGCCTCTGTAAAATGGGCTCAGTGACCATCCTCTACAGCCCACCCATCCCAATTTTGGGAGAGAGGGACAGAAGTCTGAGGCTTCTGGCCAGATAGCTGGGTCTTCCCTGTAGGCCAGCCGCTTCAAAAGTCCAATGCCTTCTGGCCCTGGCTTTGCCATCTATTCCCAGGAGGAGGCAGCTGGGGCTGCTGCGCCGCCTGTGTGCCTCATACCCTTCATGAGCCATATCACCGACATTAGATAGCTGCACTGGCGCCTGGTTCTCTCTCACTGCTTGCGGAATCCAAAAATACCCAGAAAGTGGCCAGACCACTTTCCAAAAAGTTCCACCCAGACTGTCCTGTGCTTGACCTGAAGGAATTACACAGCCATAGGTATAGCCATGTAATTCCTTAAATACTTTGCTTCCAACGTAACTTACCATTTCCCATTTCCTTTTCACAATCTAAAGACAAACCTACAAGCTCGATGGTGCAGCTCTGTGATAGAGCTAACCTAGCATGTGTGAAGCCCAAGATGGACCCCCGAGTACCATACTCACCAAAAACAAGCAAAAAAAAAAAAAAAAAAAAAATCACTCAATAACAAGGATTTTCCCATCTACCATAACAGCTTCTCAAGGATTTTCTCATCTACCATTACCCAGCTTCTTCCCCATTTGCCTTCTTTCTCCCGACACCCCCTTATAGGAGAAAGAACCATGCTGTCTTGCTCCTCAGTTTGACCCTCAGATTCCAGAAAACAGCTGGCTGCCCTCAGCCAGACTGCGCTACTCTGCCGGATGGTCTGAGACCTGCAACTTGTGCTGGGTCCTCACCAGTCATCCGCCCTTGGCCTCACATCCTTACCAACTGCTGAATGCTGATGAAGTCCATGGTCCCCCCTTGCTCTCCACATGCCCAGCGAAGCAAGCAGAGCACTCAGCCCTTTTATGGGAGAGCTCTCTCTTGGGGGTGGGGAAGGACAGAGCTCGTGCCCAGGCCAGATGACTCTGGAGCCCTGTCACACTAACCAAAATACAGGTCTGGGAATGTGTCCCACTGAGGGCAGGAAAAGGAGCTGTTTGGAGCTGAGTCGGCAACCTCCTCAGACACCCACTGCCCTCCACCTGCCACACCCCATATCTACCAGGGAGTCATTTGACCACCACGTGGGCTGGGGTGCCTGGGCCAGACCCAAGGGAAACATTTCTTATGCCTCCCAGGGTAGAGCCCACTGGTGGAGCCCAGGCTCACAGGGCAGAGCTGGCTGCCTGAGGTTCTGTGAAGACCCAGCACGGTCACCCCAGCACAGGGAATCTCAGGAGGGCCAGCAGAAGACTGTGACCTAATGCCACGGGAATTCTCCTGGGCTGCATGATGAAACCAGGCTTCGTGAACTTTCCCAACTGGCTAGTCTCTGATTTGTCCCTCAGCAGGCTGACAGCCAACATGGTATTCTGCCCCAGCCTGTCTGTCATCAGCCCTCACAGGGCCGAAGAAGCCTTCCAGGTCCACTCCAGATACTCTCTGGGCAAGAAGCATGCCCTTCAACAGGACAAGGGCACCAACACCTGCTCCAGGTCCTGGTCTGTAACAATAACCATGACAACCAGCCTTAGAAGCAAACTGTCTTTAGCCAACAAAATCAGATCCCTGATTCTCCAGAAGCCAGGGATGCTTTTTGCTCTGTGCTCTGAACTGCAGCGTGACCTTTGAGAGGAAATCAGACACCCAGTAAACAAGACAAGCACAAGGGTGACACCAACAGAGACAACCAAAGAAGCTGGGGGGGGGGGGAACTGGGGCTGAAAAAGGACCAGACACTGCGAAGGGTCAGTAGAGTGCGTCCTGGGTCTTATGCGTTAGATGCTTTCTTTGCAGAAACAGCCTTGGTGATGAGGGAAGGGATACTCCTGAGAAAGGGGGCAGACAAGGGCAGACCAGCCCTGCCCTCCACTGTCCTACTCTTGGTGGAGCTGGGCATGGTGGTGCATGGTGGCACTCTGGTGGCCATGATGGTACACACCTTGAATCCAGGCAACTCTGCAGGCATAGGCAGGAGCATCCCTTGAGTTTGAGGCTGGTCTACACAGCCAGTTCCAGGAAACCAGGACTACATAGCAAGATCTTATCACACACAAACAAACATACTTGCACTCAGAAGGCTGAGGGAAGGATCTACGGTTTAAAGTTCATCTGGGTCACAGCAAAACCCTGCATCCAAACAGACAAAAAGTTTAGGAAAATGCTAGTTAGCTCCATACAAAGGTAACTGGCATTACTTCTAAGTTAAAAATAATTATTTTTTAAAATAAATCTAAAGACCTGTTTGATTATTCTTGCCTCAGTGACCCAGGGGAAAACACTGTGCTCTTGCGTCTGCACAGCATTTGAACAGTGTTACGCTGTGGTACAACTTGGCACTATTCCTGCCCCAGGGAGCAGGTCGGCTTGTCTTCTCTCAGTAGGTCAGTTCTCATTCCCCCCCCCCCCCAACACACACACAGTCTCACACTAGCTCAGGCTAGCCTCGACCTTGTGACTCTGCCTAAGCTCCCGGGTGCTTGGATTACATTAGCCACCGTGCCCAGGGCTCTTTTTGAACATACAGCATATTCCACGGCATCTCGTTCTCCCTGTGCCCCCATACGGAGTTGGTAAATAAGTCTGAAGTAGACCCCTTTGTAAACAAGGATGAATCTACCTAGGTTGCTACGGAGCAGTAATTATCAGCTCTGCTCATTCACTTAAGTAGGTATTGCCAAACTGCCATCTAGAGCGTTTCCATGACCAGAAGCCAACCAAGTGATAGCATGAAAGAAAACGTTAATACAAGTAATTGGTACACTATATATTTCTCTGTATATATGCATACACCCAAAGCAAAGGCTCAATATTCATAAAGGTCCCGTGGATCTATAAGTCACGGCAGACTGATGTGCTGGCCACACCTACAATCCCAACACCTGGGAGGCTGGGACCATCAAGCAAGAACAAAAACACGCCGAACGGGCACAGCCAGGAGGGTGGAAGGCAGGCTTGCAGCCTCACCAGTAAGCAAGACAAACATAGGCACCTGTAATTGCGTGGGTTTGGAGACAGTGTCTCTGTAGCTCTGGCTGGCCTGAAGCTGGGAGAAAGATCCTGCCTCGAGCACTGTGGTGAAAGGCATGTGCCGCCACACCTGGCACCGTTACACTTTGTACAGATCAGACTTCTAGAACTGAAATTCTGGAATAAATGCCAGTGTTGGTAAGACTTTTAGAGAATTGGCAGTTTTCCCCTATTGTATCAGGGATTGAACGCAGGGCTCTTGCATGTCAGGCAAGGACTCCACCACTGTGCTACATAGCCCCCTTTTTACCTTTTGAGATGGGGTCTATGTTGCCCAGGCTGGCCTTGAACTCCTCTGTAGCCCAGGCAGGCAGTGGCCTTCTGAGCAGCTGACACTGCAGGCCTGCACTACCGGGCCATGCTGGGCACTGGGTACTCTACCAGGCTGCTTGTAATGTCGAACCCTCGCTAGGGTGCTCTCCACAGTCTCCCTCAGTCCCCGGAGCAACCCCGAGGCAGTCATTTTCATCTCACAGACAGGGCTGCTCAAGGGCAGACGGGAAAAAAAGCACGGCACCAAGCTCATTCTGCTAGAAAACAGCTTTTGTTAGACACCGTATTTTCTTCTAATAGTTCAAAGTTTTGCATTTCTACATTTAGGACTTTGCATTTTGAAATTTATCTTTGTCTGTGGGATGATGTCAAGATATAAGCTTTATTTTCTTCCCAATGAATAGAGGTTTCTACATGGACTAACTTCTATGATCGCCTGTCCGGGCTCACAAGTGTTCAGCCTCCCTACTGGCTGCCACACTGGCCAGACAGGGCTCTTCCGGGCATTCTGGCCGCGGTCCCGGCAACATAACGCTGAGCAAGGTAGGGGTGCGGAGAGCTAGTCTGAGTACCCTTCAAGGGCAGCCGGAGACAGGAGGGCGGAGCCTCAGCTGGCCAGCAGGTCCCTCAGGCCGCTGTTGCAGGGCAGCAGGTCACATGCTAGCCGCGCTTTGCGATCCCGGACAGCCTTCAGGGCTGGGCTGTGTTGTAACAGGAGGAAGCAAATGTCCTCGTGACCCTTCTCTGCAGCCTGTGGGGAGAGAGAGGCCGGAATCAAAAAGCATGCCTGAGCTGGGCCCTGAGCTTTCTTACTTCCCTGTTGGGGCCTACTTGCTCTGAAAAATGTCTCCTGGAATCAGGAAACCCAGGTGTCCAAGCAGACCTCCAAGCTGCTCCAAAGCCCCACGCCTCACACCCAGATCTGAGAACCCTGAGGGCAACAGTCAGCGTCAGTTCTAGTTCAGCTCTTCTGGAACTCTATGTAGACCAGACTGAACTTTGGCAATCCTCCTGCCTCTGCCTTCCAAGTGTTGGAGTTACAGGAATGAGCAGCCATCTCTCTCAGGCAGGCATTCCACCACTGAGCTAGTGCTAGATTCCCGCCCCCCCCCCCTTTTTTACCTTTTGAGATAGGGTCTCACTGGGTTGCTCATGGTTATGTCTTTTTTGTGTTTATTTTTTATTTTGAGACAGGGAGTCTCTGTGTAGATTCTCTGCGGTCCTCGAGCTCACTCAGTAGACCAGGCTGGCCTCACACTCACTGGGATCCGTGTGCCTCTGCCTCCTGAGTCCTGGGACTAAAGGTGTGCGCTGCCACCACCCCACAAGTAAGTATTTCGTAAAAGAACAGGCTCAACACGCAGCTGCTCCCTCAGCACACACTCACTAAGCCCGTGGCATGTGCTAAGGCTATGCGGTCAACAGAAGGAAGTCACGTACCGTGACTATACATTAAACAGAAGGAGTCTCGGCTGCTGCCCCTGCGGAGAGACAGGCCTCGGGCAGAATCTCAAGACCAACAGGCGCCTTAGATTTCTACTGCTGGGATAAACAGCCTGGCTGGGGAGGAAAGGGTTGATTTCAGTGCTGGCTGGATCCAGAAGGGAGGCGGGGGCAGGAATGCAAGGTAGGAACCTGGCGGCAGGAACCGAGGCAGAGGCCATCGGGGAGTGCTGCTCACTGCCCTGCCCCTCCTGGCTTGTTCCGCCTTGCTTGCCTGCTTCCATTTTCCCCCCTTCAAGACCGGGTTTCTTTGTGTAGTCTCGGCTGTCCTGGAACTCTCTGTGGAACAATGGTCCTCAACTGTGAGCATTTAATATAGTTCATGTCATGGTGACCCCAGGCATAAAAGTATTTTGTTGCTACTTCAGAACCATAACTTTGTTACTGTTATGTATGTAAAGTAAACATCTGTGTTTTCTTAGGTGAAAAAGGTCATTTGACCCCCCCAAGTTGAGAAGCAGAGAAACGCTGCTGTAGACCAGGCTGACCTCAAACTCAGAGACCCACCTGCCTCTGCCCCCCAAGTACTTGGATTAATTTTTTAGGGCAGGGGTGGCAAACACCACCTTTAATCCCAGCACTCAGATGGCAAAGGCAGGAGGATCTCTTTGAGTTCCAGGACAGCCAAGGTGACACAGTGAAACCTTGTGTTGAAAAATTTATTTGTGTTGATAAATTTATTTTTATCTTCTGTACCTGACTATTTTGCTTGCGTGTGGGGAGTCATATTCACTAGGACTGGCGCTACAGATGATTAATAAGCTGCCATGCTGGTGCTGGGAGTTGAACCCGGGGCTCTTCTGGAAAAGCACTGAGTACTCTTAACCACGGAGGCCTCTCTCTAGCCCTGCCTGCTTTCTTCTATCCAGGGCCACCTGCCCAGATCTGGCACTGCAGCTAGCATGGCAGGCCCAACCTGATCAATCATCAATCGAGGAGAGACACTACAGACTTGCCCACAGGCCAGAATTATGGAGGCCCAAAGGAGTCTAGCTCATATCAAGGCGACAGAAAGGTAACTAACACACTAGGAGTCGGGTAGTCAAGTACAGGGAACAATAGCTGGGAACATCTGGGGCCCAGGCAAGGCTCTAGAGAGGTGATGCTTAAACCCTACAGTCCAGAACGAAGGGTAGACATAAGCGCTATGGAAACTGGGAGGGGAAAAAGCAGGCTATGGCGGCCCGTGCTTAAATCAATTCTCAAAAGAAAGGCAGTAGGCCTGCCACAAATTTGGGACTAGCCTGATCCAGATCAGTGGGTTCCAGGTTAGCCAGTGCTACAGAGTGAAACTCTGGTGGGAGGGAGGGATGGGAGGAAGGAGAAAGGGAGAAACGGAAAACCCGTTTCAGAAAAGGGGGTGGGGGTATCCATTTGGGGAAGGTTTGTGATATACAGTGAGAGTGAGTACAAGAGGGTGAAAGAGACTAGCAGAGCCTGAACATAGGGGTCAAGGTTGAGAGCTCAGGACAGTATGAGGCTGGCGGGAGCTGAACCCGGGTGGCTTTTTAGATAGTTCCTTGGACTTAGAAAAAGCAAGCCCAGGGGACCGGAATCCCATGGAGGGTAGGGTTTGATGGGAACCCTCGCCTCCCTACCCCCAAGGTAGGGTTTTGATGTAGACCAGGCTGTCTGAGAACTCCTGCCTGCCACTGCCTCCCAAGCGCTGGGATTAAGGAACGTGCCACCATAGCCGAAGCAGATGGAAACGTTTTTAACCTCAGCACTGGTGGAAAAATCAGTTGGGACAAGGAAGGACTCCACACGTCTCTAAGATGCCTAAATTGCAAATACAGTTCAGTGGTTAAGCACTTGCCTAGCATTTCCCCAGAACTTAAGACAGATGGAGGGAGGGAGAGAAAGAAAGGGATCAACTGGTAAAGTGGGTACCTGGGGGAGAGCATAGAATCCTGAGCCCCCAAAGGCCCATCCTTCCTATGACCTAGGAAGCGGGTGGCAGAGAAAGGCAAAGCAGTGCCGATTGTAAAATGCTGGTTACGGGGCAGAGGGGAAGAGCTGGCTCTGCACTAGGAATGGCTAGAGAGCCATTTCTCTGAAGTGGTGGCAGGCGAGCGCCGAGAGTCCAGGTGGATTTCTGTTCTTCGTGTTCCTGCTTTCTACAATGGCCATTACAACGGTTAATCCTGGCTGTCAACTTGGCGGGATTCATAGTCACTTAGGAGACACACCTTGTGGGTGTGACGGCATTTCTAGAGGGCTTCAACCTCTTGAGCCGAGGTGCCAGTTTCTGTCACACTGCCTGTATACCAGCAGTTGGGAGGCGGGTGGATCTCTGTGTGTTCAAGGCCAGCCTGGTCTACATAGTGAGTTCTAGGACAACCAGGGCTAATTAGATCCTGCCTCGTAATAATAATCACAGCAAAACAACAAAGTAATCCAAGAATAGGATCAAGGCAAGGAAGGTATGAAGGAGGCGGGGACATACCTTATGTAGACTGGTCATGCCATCGTCGTCAACCAGGCGGGGGTTGGACCCGTGGGAGAGCAGCAGCCTCGCAATTTCTGTGTGCCCACAGTAGCTGGCCCTGTGCAAAGCCGTGGCCCCACCATGGGTCTGGGCGTCACACTTCGCTCCGCTTTCCAGCAGGAACTGGCAAACAGCGTAGTGCCCGTTTCGGCTAGCGTAGTGCTGTAGGGGGCAGAGACTACAGTCAGAAGGCCAAGTTCTGGCAGGGAAAAAGGGGGCTGGGGTGGAGAAAGCACTGGCTGGCTCCCCAGCAAGGGGTGGGCTTGGATCAGCCCAGAGACTCTATGCTCGCCCACTAATTAATACCCAGCTGCTCTGGCCAGAGTTAAAAGGGAAGGGTGGTTAAGGGATTGTGGTGGAGGTGGGGGAGTGCTTATCAGTCCCGGTGGCACAAGCCTGTAGCCTGTAGCACTTGGTAAAGGCAGAGGGTTCAAGGTCACCCTCATTAGCAGGTTTGAGGCTAATCTGGGTTCTGTAGGAGCCTCTTTTTTATTTTTTATTTATTTATTTTTTTTAAGATTTATATTATTTATACAGCATTCTGCCTGCACACCAGAGAAGGCACCAGATCTCGTTATAGATCATTGGGAGCCACCATGTGGTTGCTGGGAATTGAACTCAGGACCCTTGGAAGAACAGCCACTGCTCTTAACCTCTGAGCCATCTCTCCAGCCCTTTTGTTTTGTTTGGTTTTTTTTGAGACAGGATTTCTCTGTGTAGCTTTGACTGCCCTGGACTAGCTGTGTAGGTCAGGCTGGCCTCACACTCTGCCTCCCTGCACGCTGGGATCACAGGCCTGCACCAGCATGCCTGGCTCGAGAGCCTATTTCCAAAGACAAAAACAACAGATTTTAAAGCAAGGTGGGGTGGCACATGCCTGTAATCTCAGAACTGAGGTGGTAGAGACAGGACTGGCTTCAAAGACAGCCTGGGCCATGCAGGGAAGCCTTGAAAAACAATGAGCCTGTGAGATGACTCGTCGGAGTGAGCGTACTTCCCCCAAGTGTGGTGGCCTGAGCTCTAGGCCCAGACCTCACACGGTGGAAGGAATCAGACAGCTCCCGGAAGTTGTCCTCTGACCTCCACACATGCGCTGTGGCCACAAGTATGCACATGCCTGGACACAGACACACGCAGACACGAAAACAATAACAAAACAAGAACCAGGAGCAGTCACAGAGGGCTTTGCTGGAGTAAAGGGGAAGAGAGCGGCAGCGCAGAGCTCACCAGTGCTGTGTAGCCGGCAGAGTCAGGCTGGCTAGGGTCCGTGGCCTTCTGGATGAGATACTTCACTCGGCCCAGGTCTCCATTCAGGGCTGCCGACCAGATTCCTGGGCAAAGCCAATCGAAGCACTAAGCTGTTGCAGGATATCTGAACACACTGTGGACCCCGAGACTGTGTTTTCACTGGAAAAAACCCTGTTTCTAGTTGTGATGTGGCTCAGCCTCAGCACACCTTATCCAAGAGCTTTCTGCTTGAATACAGTAGACAGGACTAAATAAAAATCAGCCACAGGTCAAGAGGCGGAACAAGCAACCCATTGACAGGGAGTGAACACAGAGGGAAAAAACATCGTAAGAGGAAGTCGGGACAGATGGAGACACACAGGAAGTAGAAGGAACATTTAGTTTGAGGGTTTTTTTGAGATGGCATGGGAAAGGGCATTCCTTTTGGGACACTGAAGAGGAAGGTCACCTGGGTGCTTTCTCTGCCCCTCTGAGCTGGCAGGCTTTTCACCCCAGCATCTGGTTCCTGAGTCGTTATTAGTAAAATTGAACGATTGGGATTTTGTTAAAATACAACATTAAGCAATGCCACAAGATGGGATTTTTCTTTTCTTTCTGCAGGGTGGTGGTGGCACAGGCCTTTAATTCCAGCACTCAAGAGGCAGAGAGGCAGGTGGATCTGAGTTCAAGGCGAGCCTGGTCTACAGAGAGAATTCCAGGACAGCCAGAGCGAAACAGAATATTCCTGTCTCAAAACAGACAAACAAAAAGCTGACAGAGACCAGGAGATGGCTCAGCAGGTGAAGCACCTGCCCCCAAGCCTGACTACCTATACAGTGTAAGGAGAAAACTGACTCTAGCAAGTTTCCTCCAACGTCCCAGCCCATCCTCCTACACCCCACATACCCTGAATTCATTCAAAACTAAGTAAAATTACTGGAATAAGATGACCATGGATAGATCGACCAAGACTACAAGCTTAGTTGATAAGAGAATTAATTATCGGCTTAGCATTCACTCTCGATGCAGCATAAAATGATGGGGAAAAGAGTTAAGAACAAAATAGAAGAGAACACGTACGACACAGGTCAAAAAGGAATCGTGGAGAGGTGCGCAGGATCGAGCATCAGTGTCACGCCAGCGTCCTTGCACGGCTCCAGGAACTTGACCACACTGGGATAGCAAGGGGGCTCAGACACAAGGACTCACAGAGGAGCTGGGGCGCCGGGACTGGTGGACGGGGCTCGCTAGCGGAGCACCCCAGAAGCTCGGCACGGTTATTATATACAGCTGAACGAGGGGGCGGGGTTATTATAAACAGCTGAAGGTGGAGTTATAATATGCAGCTGAACAAGGAGGTGGGGTTATTGTAAACAGCCGAGTGAGGTATCCCAGAAACAGAAACACATGGTATATACTCACAAGTGGATATTAGACATATAACATAGGATAATCATACTAAAATCTGTACACCTAAAGAAGCTAAGCAAGGAGGACCCTGGGTGAAATGATCAATCCTCACTCGGAAAGGCATATGGGACAGACGTTGGAAGAGGGAGAAAAGAGGGAACAGAACAGGAGCCTACACAGAGGGCCTCTGAAAGACTCTACCCAGCAGAGTATTAAAGCAGATGCTGAGACTCACAGCCAAACTTTGGGCAGAGTGCAGGGAATCTTATGAAAGAAGGGGGAAGATAGTAAGACCTGGAGAGGACAGGAGCTCCACAAGGAGAGCAACGGAACCAAAAAATCTGGGCCCATAGGTCTTTTCTGAGACTGATCCTCCAAACAAGAATCACCCATGGAGATAACCTAGAACCCCTGCACAGATGTAGCCTCTGGCAGCTCAGTGTCCAAGAGGGCTCCCCACTAATAGGAATAGGGACTGTCTCTGACAAGAACCCAGTGGCTGGCTCTTTGATCATCTCCCCCTGAGGGGGAGAAGCCTTAACAGGCCACAGAGGAAGACAAGGTAACCAGTCCTGATGAGACCAAATAGGCTAGGAGGGAAGGGGAGGAGGACTTCCTCTATCAGTGGACTTGGAGAGGGGCCTGGGAAGAGAAGAGGGAGGGATGGCAAGATATGGAGGGGCTGAGGGAAGGGGCTACAGCTGGGATACAAAGTGAATAAACTTATCAATAAAAAAGAAACAGCTGAACAAGGAGGCGGGGTTATTATATACAGCTGACAAGGGGGCGGGTTATTATAAACAGCTGAACAAGGGGACTGGGTTATTATAAACAGCTGACAAGGAGGCAGGGTTATTATATACAGCTGAACAAGGGGGCGGGGTTATTATAAACAGCTGACAAGGGGGCGGGGTTAGTTAATCTCAGTAGTCTCTTCGAAGGAGTACTCTTCAGGCCATGAATATCCAGGGTGGAAAAATGATAGACATTTTCTGCACATACTGTCAACACTCGTGCATGGACCAGAGAAAGGATTTGCCATCCCTCTGCGACTCGCCCCCTGGGGTGTGTGTGTGTGTGTGTGTGTGTGTGTGTGTGTGTGTACATGAGCACGAAGGCACGCCATTTCCCCATAGGTCTGAGGCTAGGGTCCTTAACAACACAAGCTCACTCAGGGCTTCCTCTGCTCCCTCAAAACTGGAAAGATACTGGCTGAAGAGATGAGAATCATAGAGAAATAAAGATGATCATAAACTGGGCATGGTAGCACACACCTTTAATCTCACAGTTCTGAGACAGGCGGGTAGATCTCTGCATGTTCAGGGCCAGCCTGGTCTACAGAGTGAGTTCTGGTACAGCCAGAGCTACGCAGTGAGACCCTGTCCCAAAAGACAAAACAACAACAAAAACCAGGGCTAGAGAGATGGTTCAGCACCCGTTGCTCTTCTGGAGGGCCTGGTTTGAGTCCCAGCACCCATAGGTGGCTCACAGCAACCTGTAGCTCCAGCTTCACGGATCCTACATACATGGTGCATACATGCACACAAGCAAAACAGTCCACATGTTAAACACATATATATGTGTGTACACATATATAATCATATATACAAATATATAACAAATAAAATACTTATATTAGATAATATATCTGTTATGTTTGTATTGTATATATATATATATATATAATTAATTAAACCTATAATCAGAGAGATGGCTCAGTAGTTAAGTGTAATTACTGAGGTCAGACAGTGGTGGCACACACCTTTAATCCCAGCACTGGGGAGGCAAAGGCAGGTGGATATCTGAATTTGAGGCCAGCCTGGTCTACAAATTGAGTTCCAAGACAGCCAGAGCTACATAGTGAGACCCTGGAGTAAGGGAGCAATGAAACAAAACAGACAGACAGACAGATGGACACACACACACACACACAGACATACACCCACACAAAAGTCGCCAAAATAAATGAATTAAAAAGTAAAAACCAGCCAGGTGTGGTGGTGCACACATGTAATTCCAGTCGGTGAGTTGGAGGCCAGCCTGGACTACAAGACTGTCCAGTACAGCCAAGGCTACACAGAGAAACCTGTCTGGAATGATTTACAGAAATACAAACAAACAAAAGACCTCACAAAACAGCTGAGCATCTTTATCACATGTGGAAAATAAATAATAAAATAAGCAAACAAAATAGCAGCAGATGATAACACAAACTATTTTTCGTTTTTATCTTTTTGAGACAAAGTCTCACTGTGTAGCCCTATCCCTTCCGGCCTTGAACTTGTGGCCTTCCTGCCTCAGCCTTTGAGTCCCTCCAAACTGCTACAATGAGAGACACTGTAACAGAGAAGGCTGGAGGGGAGCGGCCCTACTTTGAACATGACAAGGTTTCTTTCTCAACAGCGGCTGGGCTGCCGTTTTGAGCCAGGTCATTTTCTGTGGTGGTCTGTGCATGTCAGGATAACTGTGACACACAAGATGTTTCTAAACCTTCACTGGGCATCATTATCTCCAGGTGAGGACTCTGTAAGGCATACAGTAGGGGTCTCCGAAGAGGTATCACAGGACTGAGAGCTGACGGAAAAGCTGCAGTTAGCCTGATGTGTGCAGGAAGACTGGCTGGCAAACAGAATTCAAAAAGGTAAATGCAATAGTCTCATTTGCTGTTTTCCAAAGGTAGAGAGGAGAAGACACTGCAAGCGGGCTTGGGAGGAAATGGGAAGTCCTGTTATATCCCTAGCCCAAAGGATGGCAGCAGCAGAGGTAGAAGAAGGGCGCAGGGGAAGAAACCATTCCTATGGCAACGGTCAAGTGTCTCAAGTGTCTGCACATGCCATCAGTAGCATCCACCCGACCGCTGACGACCACCTGGCTCTACGCGCACAAGCCACCTGTGCCTGGGAAACCACAGTCGGTAACAGCAAGATCTCTGTACAGTCTGGGGCAAAACAGTTACATCCCTGCGCTCCACAGGGAAAGATACAGACACCTGTTTCGAGATCACTGCCGTAGATGAAACGTGTACCGCCCACCCCACACACACCCGAGTCCAGCAAGGGTCAGCTCCCCTGACCCACCAGGTGGAAACAATACGACTGCAGCTTCTGTCCCTAGCTCCTCCGTCACCTGAGCAGCCTGTCTCCTTCCTGGCTTGGTCTCCAGACCAGTTCGGAAACCCATGCCTCAGTTCACCCGTCCGCACTGGAGACGGGGTGGTCTAGGGCCTTTCCTGTCATGCTTGGAGGCCAACCTTCCCGCACCAGGCCCGGAAGCTCCAAACTCAGTTCGAAGCATCCTCTGGTCCACGTTCCCGGGGCTGGGGATTGCCCGCCGCCGGCCACGCGGCCGCCTCACTGCTCTCACCCCTCTCGAAGTCCATCTCCTCCAGCGTCTGCTGTACCCCGGGCACCGCACCGGGGTGGGAGCAGCAGGAGCCATCCGCGCACGGTTGCGGCGCCGCCATCCCGGCGGCCTGGGCTGCAGCCGGACGCTCCTCCCAATGCCCACCTCCGTCCCGGGCTGACCACTCGGCGTCCGTAGTTGGCCTCCGAGTCCCGCCCCCTCGCCCGGGCCGACCAATTCGGCACTTAGACCTTAGCTTAGCAACCAATGACAGCAGCGAGGCGGGGCTCGATGGGGCCGAGCCCTGCTGCTCTGTCACCACCGGAGGGCGCCCGAGGCTAACTAAGCACAAGGAGGAGCAAAGGCGCCGGGTTCTCTGCGCGATCCCGGAGGAGGCCGGGCCGTTCTTCCAGCCGCGCCTTGTAGGGTGTGTTGTAGGGTGTGGGGACCAGGCAGCTTGGCACCCCCTGGCAGTGTTTATGTCGCATTCGCCAATCCCGAGGCCTCGTGGGCTCCCCAAGGCACAAGGACTTTGGACGCGGCCCACAATCCCTCATCCCATCTTCCCAGCACCGCCAGAAAGCCACAAGCTACTACACCCTGACACCCCCCACCCCACCCCACCCCCGTTCCTTAGCTGTCCAGCGGGAAGCAGGTGGCCTGAGGGCAAGGATCAGGCCCATCTTTGTGCTTGACCCTCTGCCCCCTCTGTGGGCACTGTTCGCCCACATCCAGTGGCTGACATCTGAGCGGAGGCGAACATACTGAGGTATGACCCAGCCTTCTGATCCACACTAAGAGAAACCAGGTCGGCGGCGTGCTCAACTGAAACCAAATGTACCGGGGTCGAGGTGGGAGCAGCCGAGGGACGTGCTAGCCGTCGTGGTCTCTGTCCCTATGCACCGGTTAGATTTATCTAAACCAGGCATGTCCAAATTGCAGCCAACAAAAGCATCGAATTCAGCACAACACAAAATCTTAAAACGTTTCCCCCTCACCCCCAACCTCCACTATTTTCTTTTTCAAAACTCGATTGCCCGGCAACTCCCATCAAGAGCACTCAAAAACCAATCCAGGCTGGGCCTGTTGTTTTTCCCTGAACATCTGGGCCTACACCACTCCCTCTCTAGGACAAGGGCTTGGAACTCACTGGGTGGCAGTAGGGGACTATCTTTCCCTACAAAGACGGGCCCTCCTCCCTCTGAGCTTGTCCTGGGCCCCACCGTTATGCAAACACTGTTCACACAACCCAGAGGGCTTCCAAGCCATCCTTCCTCAGCCCCCTCACTCGCGGCTCACCCTCCCAGGACTTCTGGGAAGACAAACCCCATCTCCTCCTCTTCCCTCAGGGCTCTTTTCCCTCTTGGCACCAGGCCAGGTCCAGCTCCCAAGGGGATGCACGCAGCCCTGGTCTGGTTCCCAGTCCCATAGGCACCACTGTGGGAAAACACTAAGTCTCAGCTGGCCCCTCCAGATACGGGGCACAGACAGGCATTAAAACCATGAAGGGCCCAGCCCAAAGGATGACTCCAGTCAAAGTATCTGTGCACCAGGGCTAAGCTTCATTTTCTCCATTTTATTTGTCAATATAAAAATACTCAAATATTTACAACAAATAAATACGTGGGACACAATAAATTACACTGTCAGGAGCCCTTTTCCTAGGGCTGGGAGAGGATATGCCAGTATCCACAGCATGCCCGCCCTCTCCCTCCCCTCCCCCAACCTTTCCCAGCCCTGTCGGAAGAGCACAAGTACAAAATACCACTGAACCCAGAGGCCAAGCGGGAGGCCCTGCCCACCCTTCCCCCTGAAGCAGGAGGCTCCATCTCCACCCCCAACCCCCGCCCTGAAAACATTCACAGCCCTAGGAGCAGGACCAGGCCCGCCCTGAGTCCTGCACTCCCCCAAAAGGGGTACAACACCCTGTCCATCCCATCCCCGTATGTACACCACTGTCCCAAGCTCAGGACAGCTGGGGGTAGGAGAGGCAAAGTGGTATGACCCCCCTTCCCCTTCATAGCTCCAAAGACTCACCAGGAGAACCCCAGGCCAAGGGAAGACTTGATAGAGACGGGAAGGTTATCACACACACACACACACACACACACACACACACACACACGGTGCTTGCACCCCCATACACACATCAACACATACATATATGCACAAACACACCCACAATCTTGAAACTTGCTAAGTTTTGGCTGCTGGGGTTCCACGTGTCTGCAATCCACAGAGGAGGTGTGCCCACCTCCTGTGAGGCTGATGCCCTGGTGAGCCACACCAAGTGGCAGTGCCCGTGCTGAGCAGGTCCTCATGGCTGGGCAAGTGCTGGGCAGTGTCCGTCCCAGGCAGAGCAAGTGCCCCCGCCATGTCCCTGAGGTAGCTGGTGCCTGTGCAAATGCGGAAACCCCCCGCCGACGAGGTGGGGGGGCTCCCTCATACTGAAGACTCCTCTGGGTTGGAGTCGGGCAGCGGCTGGCGCTGCTGCAGTTTCCGTCTCAGCTCGTCCGCGAGCTCGGGCAGCGCGTGGCCCCCTCCGTCCTCTCCTCCCAACTGTAAGCGCACATAACCATTGGCATTTGAGTTCCGACCCCCCCCTAGGTGGAGCCGAGTGGGAGACGGCAGAGGCTGGCCAGGTATGCCAGGAGGGGGGGACGGGGGCCCACCCCCGGGCTGGCACCGGGCGTGGCCGGGCACGATCTTCAGAGAGCCGTCTGAATAGTAGTAGCCGACGGGATCCCACAGTTTCTCGTCAGTCTCGGGGCCGGGACGGAAGGGCGGACTGGTCGGTTCCTTGGGCAGTTCCAGGGGGTACACAAGTGTCCTCTCGGCTGCCTTGGCGCCTTTTTCTAGCTCTTCTCGCAGCCGCCGCCGAAGCGACAAAACCAGCAGCAGCAGCACCAGGCACACAGCCCCCAGGGCCACCACGGCCAGCCATACAAGCCCCAGGTTTTCCAAGGGAGCGCGGGCCTCCAGGGTCACCGACGGGCCGGCCACCACAGTGACAAGGTAACTCTCCGCAGGCAGCCTTGTGCCCTGCTCCTCTGAAGCGCAGTGATAAAGCCCAGTGTTGCGGGGCTGGGCGGCCATCAGCACCAGCGCCTGGAGTCCCGTGTCATAAAGGAAGGAGCCGGGTTGTTTTGTAAGTAGTTCCTGGTCTTTGAAGGTCCAGCGGGCATGGGCCAAATTGGATGAGAGGTGGCAGGGGAGGACCAGGTCCGTGCCTGCTACTACTGTGATGTTCTTGGGAGGTCTCACTAGAGGGGCAGGAATGAGAGGGAATAAAGTGTTAGTACAGGAAACCCAGGCCCCACGGTGGGAGGAGATGCTGTGATCCAGAGGCCCATGCCCCAAATGAGGGAACAAAAAGCAATGCAGCTCACCTTTCTTAATGCCATGCTGGTTACACATCTTTGAGGCGTCCAAGTTGGCCACATGTTGGATCAGAAGGGATCTGCTGGGAAGGGAGAGCGCATCAGCTGTCCGACTCCAAGCACTTCTGCCTCCCCGCTGGCCCTGGCACTCCCAGATTACAGACTCACCCTGAGTGACCCCTGGCGGCGGCCACGCATCTGCTGGTGTTGACGTTCCAGGCACAGTACGGGTCCCGGGCCAGGACACAGTCTACACAGAAACGGTACTTTGTGCAGTCCGCCAGGGACAGCTGAAGCAGCTGAGAGCGGGAGCCAGCGAAAAGCACCTTCTGTAGAGACACGAGGCAGAGGGGTGAGCCGCGCCACACCTGTTCACTAGCGGAGACCACGAGCACACTGTGTCCCCAAGGAGGAAGGAGGCAGAAGAAAAATCCAGGCCAGGGGAACAAATTTGATGAGGGCTTACGACAAGCCAGCACAATCCTAATCACTTTACAGACGTGACCTTAATTAGACAGGGACCGCAGGACCGTGAGGCTGACTTGGAGCCACACTTGCCCTCACACAGCCCCAGGAGCCAGCACTAAGAGCAGCGCTCATCTGAGGTGCTTCCCTCTCTCGGAATGCTGACTGCCGATCTGTCTGCTCAGCCCCAGCCCCGGTGCCCTTGCTGCCCCTTTCATCATTCAGCCTTCTGGGGAGCAACTCTGCGTCACAATAGCAGGTAGAAGGTAAACCAATCAGACTCCACGGAGTGCCGTGGACATGCCAGTTTTGCATAAAGGTTAAGAAAGATGTGAACATTTCAAGGAGACGATCCAGGAGATGGAGGGGCTCTGGCTCAGGGGCCCACTGGGGACCCGGGGACCAAAACGCTGTGGAGCCTGGGAGGTGTGGTCAGCCAGGGTGTGACTGAGAAGATGCAGCAGGCAGAGCCCCGGCCCCAGGGAGAAGGGCCTGAGAAAACACGAGGGTGTTTGCCGAGGCTGGGTTCTGGGAATGGGGGCTCCCAGGGAATGGCTCCATATAAGAACCCCTGGAAGGCAGGTTCCAGCCAGTGGGTGAGGTACTGCTCCTACTTGCTGGAACTCACAAGAGCTAAGTGAGGGATTCTGAGCTGGCCAATCACATGAACCCAGCTACGGGAGGCCGAGAGATTGCGTGTGGGAAAGATGGTGCTGCCGGAAGCAGAGGGAGGTGTGTGGGGCCCATCTTAATACCTTGCTGGGCGACAGCACCAGGCTTGCCACTGGCTCCTGGTCAAACACCTGCAGCTCCTCAATCATGTGGATCCAGGGCCCGAGGCTCACAGCTTTCAGCAGCCAACCATCTCCTGCAGAGGTGATGAGGAGAACACGTGAATGACGAGGCAGCAGGCCTTGGGGCGCCCGCCGGCCCCCAGCCTCGGGCACACCCCAAGTGCCTACCTGTGCCAATGAACAGCACTGTGTAGGTGGTGCCGTCCAGCCCGGTGACCCTGTCGGCCACCACGTGTGTGAAGTTCGTGTTCTTCTTCACGAGCAGGGGCCGGCCCAGCCGCGGCCTCACCTGCTCCTCCATCAGCGGGTGCTTCTTGATGAAGTTGAGCGTGCTGTCGGGCAGCTCCAGGGAACTGGTGTAGCCATTGTCGCGGTGCCAGTTGTTGATGCACTGTGTCGGGGAGGGACGTGGGGAGGCGGGCTGTCAGCCGGGCGGCGAGCGAATGCACGCGTGCCTGATGTGGCGGGAGCTGATGTGGGGAGCGCACCCGCAGGCGGAAACTCACCGAGCCGGGCCGAGGCGTGGGGACCTGGTCGGTATAGCGCGCCCACTTCTGGGCCTGCTCGCTGTACTCCTTGTAGGGCCCCTCGAACACTTGCTGGATCTGTTCCAGCTGGTACTCGCAGACCGCTGACAGGTCCATGTCACCCCTGTCACAGAAGAGCCTTAAAGTCAGGTCTCACACCTGCCTCCATCACACCCAGCCCCAGGCTTGGTAGGGCGCAGTGACGACCGGAAGGGAGCGTTCTGCTCCCCTCCCCCACAGAGCAGGCGCAGAGTGATCCTGGCCGCCAGGCACTGGCCGCTGGACCTCATCCAGAGGCCTGTGCAGGTCCTCACGCCCACACACCACCCCCGACCTGACCACCTGCTCCTCCCCCCCCCCCCCCCCCCCCCCCC